GTATATTAGTATATGTTAATTGTGCAAAAATATTTGAGGGCACTCTGATCGGTTTGAAATTTTTAGGTCTATAGGAAATGACCTAGTCACCAATAATTATTGCTTCATCACTTTTGAGTTCATTTTATGGTGTTTTGAGGTCATGCAACATGAATTTATAATTATATCTATTTTTTATGTGTATTAGTACATGCTGATTTTGTAAAAAAAAAAATTAACAGACTCTAAGTGGCTTGAAATTATTAGGTTTATAGGAAACAATCTAGTGACCAATACTCATTATTTTGCCATAATTTTCGAGTTTGTTTTAAAATATTTCAAGGTCATGCAACACGAATTTGTGATTATATCCACTTTTCATATATCTTAGTACAAGTTGATTTTGTAGAAATTTTTTTACGGACTCCGATTGGCCTGAATTTTTGTAGGTCCATAAGAGATGATCTAGTGACTAATACTCATTGCTTCTGTAACACTCGTGAAAATATTGAAGTATTTAAAGGCTTTAAAGAAGATCGACATGTGCTAATTATATTAATTCGCATGTGAGCAAGGGCTAATGATATGAATTATATCACTTGAACTTGATAATATGTGTAAGAGATATATTAGAAATAGTTTATGGTCTAAGAAGATCCCTAAGGCTAAGTCAAGTTGGAAACTATATGATGGTCTAAGTTTCAAATGAGTTCGCACAAGACTTAACTTCAAACGAGCATAACTCTCAAGATATGAAAAGTTATATGGTGTATGACCTATCAAATTAAAGGTTTACGAGTCTAGTTTTCAGTGCTTCAAACCATTCTTTATTTAGATATTACTACGATGAGTTATGGACTTTTTCCCAGAAGGTGGTAGTGCAGCTAAACAGCAGGCTACACAGCCTGCATAGCCAATTTTAGATTTTTGTCCAAGGGAAGGCCTCCTGCATTAGTTTTATGCGTAGGCTACGCAAGGAGGCTATGCAGCTTTAGGGTCCATTTTAAAAGGAATGAAACATGGGTTTAGAGGGAGAATAAGTTAGTTCTTCAACTTGAAATTGATTTCTAGAGAGAAGGAGGAGCTCTTCTATCATTGATACGCTTCAAGGTAAGTTATTTTGGTACAAGGATGATCCGTGATAACACTAACATTATTATGGATCAAATCCATAGGAAATAGGTTGAATCTTCAAGAACACCAAAAAGAGAAAAAGTGAGATTCTTCTACCAAGAGGTAATCCCTTCACTTGAGCCTCATATATGTGATATATTAAAGCATGGGTAGCATGTTTATGAAGTTTATTTGAAGTTATAATGAAGTACTATGGGAACCTAAGAGTGGATCTTGAAAATGATATTTTGCGCAAAGAAGAAGATTAATTAATGGAATTGTTTTAAGTTTTTAATGATTCCAATAGACTTGATCATTTAATTGATGAACGAACTGAATCGGGAATCACCATTTGGATAAGATACAACACTAGTTCTTGAAAGGGTGTTCTTGAACCTAGGGTTTTGTTGGAGAAGGCAATGAATAGTGACTTGATGATGTTGTATAATTAATGTAGTATCATTAATGACTCCAAATGAGTACTAAATGATAAGAATGAAATTGAATAGGCTAATAGGTGAACTTATTGGATAATTTGGGATGGTTGAAGGCTTGTTGCCAAATTGTAAATGCTAAATGGATATTATGAATCTTTTCGTATTTGTTTTGATGTAGTTGTGATATCTAATGGTAGATCTTGAATTGTAAGCGATATTCAGGCATTTTAATCAATTGGAACATTGTAGTATTTTTGGAACTTGAAGTTTGAGGTAAGTTGATTAAGACTACTCTTCTTGACGGATTCTCTCCAAAAGCATATTTTGAGTTGATACATTATACTATTTATAAATGTGCATCCGTATTTGTGGGGACAAGGGGGAAAGATGTCACCATGCGTTTCTAAATTTGTTGCTTATGAAGTGTCATGTAATTTTATAAAAATCTTGTTTTCAAAATTTATTGGCAAATTGACACTTATGAAAAAGATTATAAGTTTTATTGAAACTTATATGTTGTACTTGTTGTATTTGTAGATTGATGTTAAATTGCTAAAGGCTTTAACATGAAAAAGGTAATTCATTTGAATTTGTTTAGATGGTTTGGATTGATTATGAAAATCATGATTTGATAAAAATAGATCCTTTGAGTCTATTATGCTATGAATCTATTTTTGATATGTAAAATATTTTGAGAGTTACTAGTGAAGATCGCCGAGATTAGTTCGAATGTTGAGTTCGTTACCATGGAACTACACGTGCTGGTGTAGGGACACATTTAAAGGCTAAGCCGAAGTTTGTGAGATAAAGTCCCCCATTGAGAGGGCAAATGATCATTATTTAAAGTAATAAGGTTAAGTCAACTCGTACGACACTATGGGGAGCCACCCATACAAGTAGGGTCAAATACTTATTGCTAGGTCGATCACCTAGTAGTTGTTCATTATGTGGGCATTGTTATAGTATTCCCGGTGAAAGGTAAAGATGGCTTTTATATGTTTAGGTCTAGGGAGCTGATGAAATGATTTCATATGATTTTTATTAAAAATCCTGGATTGATATAAATATTCTAAGAATTTATATCATGGTTTATATTTCACATGTCTTTTCATTCGAAGTGATAAATAGCATGATTTATATAATTTTTATTGCTTTATATCAAATATTGGTTGCATAGTTTTTTGTAAAATTTTTGTCCCAGAAACTTGAGTTAGAGAGAGTCTATGACACTTATTGAGTATCGAGGTGGTGTACTCAGCCCTCAGGAAACCCTCTTCATGGCTCCGCTTACTTACATGTTTCAGGATGAGGGGTATATTAGATGGCATGCATACATGGCTATATGACTCTCTTTTCAAAGTATACGACGAGGCACCGCTCCTATTTCGTGGTAGCTATCATGTTGTCTTTATATTTTATGTTAATCGGGCATTAACCTAAATATTGAATTCTATTCTTGGTATAGAGGCTCTATATATAGTTGTGAAGAGTTGTAGTAATGAGGTTGTACCAGACACGCATAAAAATATATTTATTTTACTTAGTCTCATTGTTATGATTACGAGAGGCTTCATGTATTGTTGAATTGAAAAATATTACATCATTTATCTCAATTTATATATGATTTTCAAAGATCTTCCGCAGTTAAATTGATTTTCGTGCATATGGTTTGAGTGCATCATATGGATTGGTTCGCTCGGGTTGGATAGTGAGTCGGGTGCCAGTCATGTAGATTTGCATCGTGACAGCTTCGCCATGACTTTCTAGTTTATTTTAAAACATTTCATGGTCATCCAAAATGAATTTATAATTATATTCACTTTTTTGTGGGTAATATATGTTGATTTTGTAAAAAAATAAAATGACGGACTCCAATTAGACTGAAATTTCTTTGGTCCATAAAAACGACCCGGTGAGCAATACTGTTTTACATAATATCAAATAATTAATCACTATGTCCAGAATACACACGCAAATCAAGAAACATCAAATGAAGCTAATAGAGGTCTCGAAACACGGAAATAACGGCTGATACTCAAAATGACCTATCGGGTCGTCACATTCTCCACCTCTAAAAGAAACGTTCGTCCTCGAACGGACATAGAAAAGTACCTGGACTGTAAAAAGGTATGGTTATGTACTCCACATATCGGACTGGACTCCCACATAGCTTCCTCGATCGGCTGACCTCTCCATTGCACTTTCACAGAAGGAAAACTCTTAGATCTCAACTTTCGAACCTGCCGGGCTAGAATGGCCATCGGCTTCTCCTCATAGGCCAAATTTCATCAAGCTGAACCGTGTTGAAGTCTAGAACATGCGAGTTGTCCTCATGGTACTTCCGAAGCATGGAAACGTGGAATACCGGATGTACCCATCTAAGCTAGGAGGCAATGCAAGCCTACAAGCAACCTCCCCAGATCTCTCCAAGATCTCGAACGGGCCAATAAACCTCGGGCTCAGCTTGCCCTTCTTCCAAAATTACATCACGCCCTTCATAGGCGACACTCGGGTGAGAACCTTCTCACCCACCATTTAAGCTATATTAAGAACCTTCCGGTCAGCATAACTCTTTTGCCTGGACTGAGCTGTATGAAGTCGTTCCTGAATCACCTTAACCTTTTCTACAACATCACAGACCAAATCAATGCCCAACAATCTAAGCTCTCCGGGTTCAAACCAATCAATTGGCGAACGACATTGCCCCCCATATAAGGCCTCATACGGCGCCATATGAATATTCGATTGGTCACTGTTATGGTAGACAAACTCCGCGAGTGATAAAAACTGATCCCATGAACCTCCAAAATCCATAACACAAACACGTAACATGTCCTCCATAATCTAAATGGTGCGCTCGAACTGTCCGTCCGTCTGAGAATGAAACGCTTGCTCAGCTCAATCCGTGTGCCCAATTCACGCTGCACAGATCCCCAAAAATGCAATGTGTACTACGTGCCTCAGTAAGAAATGATAGAAATGGGCACACCGTGCAAGTGGATAACCTCCTAAATGTAAATCTGAGCCAACCTCTCTAAGGAATAGGAAGTCGCCACCAAAATAAAGTGTGCAGACTTAGTCAACCGGTCCACAATAACCCAGACTGCTTCGTACTTCCTCAAGGTCCATGGCAAGTCCAAAATCCATAGTGATGCTCTCCAACTTCTACTCCAGTATCTCCAATCTCTGTGTCAATCCACCCAGTTTTGATGCTCATACTTCACCTGTTGACAATTCAAACGCAGTGGCAGACCCAGGATTTTTATTAAGTGGGTTCAAAATACGAAGAAGCAAATATACAAAGAGGTCAACAGAAAAATATATTAATAAAATATATTATTACAACTCTCCTCTATGAGTTTTCATTTCCTGAAACGTATTCATAATAGTCTCATCAGAAATGGTGTTAAATATTTTTCTTTCTACATAAGGTACCAAACAACCGCTCATGAATTCGTCATTCATTAGGTTTCACAATTCACTCTTGATCAACTTCATCACCGAAAAAGTTCTTTCAACTGTAGCAGTGGTAACAGGTAGAAGCAAAGCAAATTTCACAAGGCGAAACACAAATGGATAATTCAAATGCTTCTTTGTCCTAACGATTGTTTCAGAAAGATCAACAAGTCCTTGTAGATTTGAGAACCTTTCATCAACAACACGAACATCAATAATATAAGTTTCAAGCTGTTCTTAAGCGTAACCGTTATATTCTCATCAAAATCATCAGGATACAATTCAGTCATCCTCAATAGCTTGTTTATGTCAAAACTGGAAAATGAGTCAACTAGATTTAAGCAAGCTACCCCAATAAGCAAGTTCGTTGTCACCTCATTAAAATGAGCATTGAGTTCTTGAACTCCTTTTGAATAACTTGGATAACATCTTTATGGACATCTGAGAGAGGTTCTTTCTACTAGTGCTCCTCCTCCTGCTAATGCTAGTGCAACTTTAAAAGTTGTTAAAGCAAAGATTCGATACCTCTTTTATTATTCTTGCCAATCAATAATATTAAAAAAATATATCAACACGATAGTGATGTAAAATAGTATAATCAACAACTTTACGTCGAGATCTTCCAGAGTTAACATATAGGTCATCAAAATTTGGTATCAAAATATTATACTTGACACAAAATGCAGATACCTTATTAATAAGTGAATCCCATTCTTCTTCTTTTAGCTTTTGTAACCGTCTCTTTGCCATTTCAACAAGTAGAATAGCATTTGTAATATCTTGCTCCTTTTTTTTAAGGATGTATTAAGCTCATTTGTGATCCACAAAACATCTCTCATTAGGTGCAACATGAAAGCAACCTCAAATGTTTGACAAGTGCTAAGATATCCCTTTGCCTTAGCTCTTTCTTCTAAAGTCCGGGCATCAACAACGATAATATCAAGAACATCAATAATTGAGCGAAACTTAGAAATAAAGTTCTTAAAAGATTTGTAGTGTGAACCCAAACGAGTATCGGCAACTCTAGCAAGACCAAGTTCTTGATTCAAACCCCTACCGGTTTCAAGTTCACCTATGTCTAATGCCTCTTGAACTTTTTCTGCTTGAGATTCTCGAAGATCATCCATACGTTTAAAAGAACCTCCCACTATATTCAATACATTAGAAACCAACAATACAAGTTCTTCCACTTCAAGACACTTTTTGGATACTGCACCAAGAGTCAATTGAAGTTGGTGTGCAAAACAATGAATGGAATAAGCAGATTTACTTTCTTGTTGAATCAAAGTTTTGAGGCCACGTAAATTCCCTTGCATGTTGCTTGCTCCATCATAGCACTGTCCATACACATAATATAAACTCAAAGAATATTGAGCAAGGTAATCAACAATTGCTTCCTTTAAACACAAAGCACTAGTAATACGAACATGAACGATCCCAGTAAAATGCTCCACCACATATCCGCATCCATTAACATATCGCAAGATAATAACTAATTGCTCTTTGCGTGATACATCACATGATTCATCAACTAGCAATGCCAAAAAGGTCTCCATTTAGATCGTCCATAATTGCTTTAACTGTTTCAATTTTACATGCAATGATAATGTCGTTCTAAATTTTATGAGAAGTCAAATTCATAAGTTCCATAAGCAAAATTTAGGATCTACATAAAGCATTTGGGTTATGGGTCAAATCACATTAAGTAAGAAATAGATCTAAAGTGGGTAAGATCCATTTAAGTTTATGTGGCATTTATTTTTGGATTTTTATCATTAAATTTTATGCCATGTCATATTTATGGCAGGGGTTTGAGCCAAAATGACTTTTAAGTGACAATGTGAACGTTTAGTTGCTTTTAAGTGACAAAAAATAGTTGGGTGACTTTAATGAAATTGAAACATAGTTGAGTGACCTACGGTGAAATTAACCCGAGCTGGAGAGGGTGCCTTATTACAAGCTTTGGACAAATTTTTGCAAAGGGAACTTGTCAAAGAATCTAGATTTGGCTTGTTTTATACAAATATTCTATCACATCCATATCAAAATAGTCCATGATCTGCTAAAACGAAGAGAAAATAATTGTTTCAAGGACGTAATATTATTTTATTCTTACTCAAGAAAGTACCATATATTAATTACCTAATTACAAGATAAGAGAGCATCAAAATAATTAAGTGATGTATATCAGCTTCTAATGAGAAATGACATTGTAGTCTCTTCATTTGCACTGCAGTAATCGTGGGGGGATTAGGAAAAGTTGGAGCAATAAATATTTTGAGACGTTTTTATTTCTTCTAGTTTAACTTTTTATACTTGCTCTTTTTTGGTTATCTTTATTAAATGTATATTTATATTTTTGTACAAAGAAATAATACTTGCTTGAAGGGCAAAATAATCATTTACTTTTTGATGGATATTTTTGTCTTTCAACTTTCAACTTGAAGCTTCACACTTATAATATATTATATATATATATATATATATATATATATATATATTCCAAGAAACACGTCTTTACTTTAGTTTTCCTTTTTACAAATTTTTTTATCTTGAGCATTATAAATGCTTTTCGTTTTGCCAAGAAGAAAAGGATATATAGATAAATAATACACACATGCATAAAAGAAACGAAAGTAAATAAATTTCAGAAATTCTGACGTCCCTACTGATTCCAAACAAAACTAAATAAATTTCAGAAAATTTGACGTCTCTACTGATTCCAAACAAGTAAAAGAAAATAGAGACCACTGTTATCAAGCAAAAAAGCAAGAAGTGTAGCCGAGTATGACGAAGCACATGAGAATCAAGTCCCACTCACACACCTAAAAAATGGTAATTTCTTTTTCCAGGATAATATTATTAGACGAGTAGAATTTAGAATTCGAATATGATGAATTTAGTCTTTATGTAACTATTATAATTTAAAATTTTTGGGTTTAAATAATAATATTTATTGAAATTTTAGCGTCTTCTTACATATCTAAGTTTCATGTCTAGAACATTAGATTCGATTGAACTCGTAACTTTTCTATATTTGCCATGGGTAGTGCTGCGTTAAAAAGAAAAAAACAATAGTACGTATACTATATAGTGCTATTATCACATTCTCCTTACGGTTTGACCTGTTGCCCCTTTAGATTTTTCCTTTCCCTTATTTGCACTATGGGATATGTAAAACATTGTATCCTTTTTTTTTTTTTTTTTTTGGAACCCCAGGAAAACCCGCAGCCGCTGTCACAGCCTCTGCCCTTCAAGTCACTTTNGAAACTGAGAATTATTTTGAAAATAATAAATCTTGGATTAGTGGTTTGAAGTAGCAATGGATACTGGTAAACCCCCCACTGTGTAATAGTCTGCAAACCACACAGGGGATGTAAACCGCACTAGGCAAGCCCCTTGCGACAGGCTCAGACCCAGAAGGCATTGAGGGGGAATCGAACCCCCATCTCCCGTGTGGAAAACCCCCTCCAAACCCACTGGGCCGTCCCTTCGGGACAGGCTTTTTATTTATTCTTACACCTTATTTTAATGTCAATATCAAATGCAAGTATGAAGGTTTCTTGCTATGCTTAACTTATTAAGCTGAGTCATAAACGTTGAAGTTCAAGTATTATCAAGTCATTTACTTTCCCTTTACTTTTTAGGTCTGATGTTTAGTGCTAATATTAAGTTTAAGAATTTTCAAACATCAAATCTCATGAAAACACTCTTAACTTGTTAAATTTGATGGTTCTTGCTATGCTTATATACTATATGAGGAAATAATATCGTAATTTAGATGTTCAAGTATCACGTCATGTGCTAATTATGGAGGAGCTAATCACAATTTTCCAATAGCCGCGAATTAAAGATTGTTAGGTAGAATATATTAAAGAGGAAAACATTAATAGAAATGAAGAAGATCCAAAAATTACGTGTTCTTTTTCACAGCTAGCATTTGGCTATAGAATTGTGTGGAGAAGGCAGAGGCGCATTCAGAATTTTAAAATTAATAAATTTTGGATTCTAGATATCTTATTTGATTATGGATAATTAATTTATGCATATCAAGTAAATTTATTACTTCTTCCGTTCACTTTTACTTGAAATTATTTGTATTCTGTTGGCACCATTGAGAAAGAAGACGATCTTTGCCTGCCTAAAGTACAGTAGCTTTGTTTGCTAGGTCAACATATATTAGTGCCAATACACACATACGCACATTAATTCTATGAAAATGGCCAGCCAATTTCTGCTTGATTCTCCCCACTCTTGCTTTATCAATCCCCTTTTAAAAAACCGGGCCTACTCGATTTTACTATTTGGTCGAGACCAGGGAGTTGCATCGAAGGTCGGTCTCGTAGTGGATCAGATCAAAGCACGAGGACAAGGTACCGAGTTCGAGAAACGAGGTGCCTGTCGAGATCGAGGCCAATAACGATTGAGAATAAATGGGGCAGACTTCGAAGAAAGCGTAATAACAGAAATGCGAGATATCCGCAACTGATCGAAAATCATGGCGGAAATCTCGGAACAGATCAAATCAAGAGCGATTGTTTAGGCTAGTAATGGGATTTACTTCCGTAATTAGAATTGTACCATAGATTGGATTCCTCTACTATATAAAGAGGGTTCTAATCATTTTGTAGGCATCTTACATTCACGCATATCAAAGGACTACAATACTTTTTGTCTAGCTTATATTCTTGTTCATCAGTTTACTTATTTCTTAACTATTCGGGTATTGATCAGTTCGAGGGCACTTAAGCTCGAGGGCTAAATTACGTTTCAACACTGGTTTGCTTTATCTCATTGTCAATTTCCATTATTAATCTTCATATTCATCAATTGGTATTAGGTGAAATCAGGTGTCCTTAAAACTTTTAATTGTTATCCAATTTTTAGGGTAAGCAGTTTGGCGCCCACCGTGGGGCTAAGGATAATAGTGATTTTCTGGTATTAATTCTCGTAATACACACTATTTTATGCTTGTTCTTGTGAGTGTTTTTGATTTCAGGATCAACATGTCTAACTCGCAAGCAGTACCCACTCACGTCGATAACGGCCTCGGTTTTCATGGAGAAAACGATAAAGTAGCCGCCCCAGGGATCGAAGTGCCTTAGACTGGCCACATGGGAGTACCACTCGCAGACCCCATCGATGTCAGTTCGCATGTCGCCCTAAATGCAAATCTGGGCATTGATCCTTAAGGTAGCGTACGCAGGGAAGTTCGATCAGGTGGTCAAGGTACGCAGGGCGGAGAAGACGATGGAGTTAGCCTTCAATTGATATTTGAAATGCTACAGGCTCATCAAGCCGCTATAGCGCAACTACAGAATCATCATCAAGCACCAAGTGGGATCAAACCAGAGCCTGAACCAAAAACTATTCGCAGGGCCGAACCTATATCGGAGAGATCGAACGCCAATGATACGGGGGCTAACCCTGATATTATGAAAATACTCGAGGAGCTCACTAACGGATTGAATCAGTACAAAAGAAAATCAAGGCAAATGATAAAAAGGTAGAAACATACAACCCAGGTTGACCAAATAGCGGGGGCACCACGGATTCTAAAGGGTTTGGATCCGGAGAAGTTTGTGCAGAAGCCTTTCCCCCCAAGTGCGGCTCCGAAGCCTATCCCGAAAAAATTCCGCATGCCAGAAATTACCAAATACAATGGAACCACCGACCCTAATGAACATGTCACTTCTTATACGTGTGCAATAAAGGGGAATGACTTAGAAGATGATGAGATTGAATCCGTTCTATTGAAAAAGTTTGGTGAAACTTTATCGGAAGGGGCAATGATATGGTACCACAATTTGCCACCCAATTCCATCGACTCCTTCGTCGTGCTTGCAGATTCCTTCATGAAGGCACACACCGGAGCAATAAAGGTTGCGACAAAGAAGTTGGACCTCTTCAAAGTAAGACAAAAGGACAACGAAATGTTTAGGGAAATCGTATCTCGGTTCCAGATGGAATGCATGGACCTACCCCCGGTCACAAATGATTGGGCTATTCAAGCCTTTACTCAAGGTTTGAACGAACAAAGTTCGATAGCATCACGAAAACTAAAGCAATATTTAATTGAATATCCAGTTGTAACCTGGGCCGATGTACATAATCGATACCAGTCGAAGATTAGGGTCGATGATGCTCAATTGGGGACTCCTTCCGGTTCTGTTTACCCAAATAGGCCCGTCGGTAGAATTCAAAGGGACATCGACAGAGAACCCCGATCAAACAAAGATCGGTATTAACCATACAACGCAGATCGTAGAAACAACAGCCTAGGACATAATCCCGTTCGAAATGATCGAATGAATGATCGAGGACAGAGCTCCCGAGGGCTCATGAGTAAAAGTGGCTTCGATAAACATGTCGAGCCCATAGAAGCACCACGACTGTCATAATACAACTTCAGTATCGATGTATCGGGTATTGTATCGGCCATCAAATGGATCAAGGATACTAGATGGCCCAGCCCCTACATACCAATCCAGCTCAAAGGAACCCTAATCAAATATGCAAATACCATGGTACCCATGGTCATAAAATCGAAGAATGC